TGAAAGTGATAACTACAGGAATACAAGGTGAGAACATGTGGTTTGGCAGCCTCACAAACAAATAAAAATACTTGGGGATTAGTGAACAGTCCTCTCAAATCGAGTCATAATTGGCAGCGCCTACAAAACAAATAAAAAAGATGAACTGATGTGGCATTAACAGATGTGCTCTTTGCGCCTGCTTGCTGGTAAGGCAGTTTATTTTTCCTGATTCCTACTCAGCATTTTTAACCTCAGGAAAAAGAGAAGAACAGATGCCATCTCACAAAGAAAAAAATACGTAGGGTAATGTCTTCAGCCAACGAAGAAGAGAAAGAAGAAAGCTGGTGCATTATGAGAAGTGGATGGAGCTGTGGGAAGCAGGCGGTAAAACATGTGTACTGTAGTCCCTCTCCAGGGTGTAAGTACCAGAGGTGGGAGGCATGTTAGGTCGAGAGCAAAGCCGGAAGCAGAAACGTTTCCTCCCTTTTCCTGTTTGGGCTCTAGAAGCAACCTACCCTTGTGGTTAAGCAGAGAGGTTGAGTTGGCACTCCCAAGCTGCGTTCAGCTCTCATGTGGCATGGAGGGGACACAGAAGTTCCCGTATGTATGCCCTTGAAGGGGGTCATAGTTCTGATTGATCACATGTTGACATGACACTATTTTTGTATATGTTGTACTAAATAAAATGGTATTAACATGAACTTCACATGTCTCATAATTTTATAAGATAGCTACTAGGAAGTGTAAAATTACACATGTGGTTTGCACTTGTGGTTCACATTATAATTCTATGGGACAGTGCTGCTCTAGAGGAAATGGGGAAGTGAGAAAAGCTGAAAGATTCAGTCATTTAAAAAGAAACTGAGTTAACCGAAAGGCACTGTTTCAGCTTCTGGCTCCAAGTTAGTTTACAAGATTGGACTAACTTCAGTAGGTGCTTCCTACCACCGAGTGGTATAGAATTTGTGAACAAGATGGATTCCGTTCTCTCAAATAAAGAAGCCAACTTTTCTTGGCTTGTGTGATGGGAGACTGAGCCATTTGTTTCTGTGTTAAAATAAAGAGATTGGAGGACCACAGGCCACCTCGGTTGGAGGCATCTAATCATAGAATACACGATTTTGGGAGGTGGTGAGTTCAATGACGTGGAAAGTATTCAGATGTCCTAATCCCAGGAGAAAGATGAAGAACCATAACTAGAACACCTCAGCATGCTCAATTCTATTCCCCAGTTCTCCCCTCATCTGTTACCTGGAGTTTGATGAGAATATATAAAAGAGATGCATAGTGCTGTGAGCTTGCAAGAGGAATATGTGATGCATTTTCTAACCTTGATCCAGGAAAAGGGATCCTTGGTGCTCCAGGCATTGATTGATCCAGAATAATGAAGTCTGGCCAGATTTGGGGCCCACTGTCCTTTGCCCAAGAAAGGGGAGAGAGATTAGGTTCAGTTGGGTTGGTTCTAGGCACTCAGGAATAAAATTACTTTCTCTTTTTTGAAAAATATATCTTTAGTGGTTTCAGAGAGGAGGGGAGAAGGAGAGAGAGAGGCAGAAACTTCAATGATGAGAGAGAATCATTGATCAGCTGCCTCCTGCACGCCTTCCACTGGGGATGGAGCCCGGGCATGTGCCCTGACCCTGGTTCATAGGTCAACACTCAACCACTGAGCCATGCCAGCCAGGCAAAATTACTCTCGTTTTAAAAAAATATATTTTATTGATTTTTACAGAGAGGAAGGGAGAGGGATAGAGAGTTAGAAACATCGATGAGAGAGAAACATTGACCAGCTGCCTCCTGCACACCCCCTACTGGGGATGTGCCTGCAACCAAGGTACACACCCTTGACCAGAATCGAACCTGGGACCTTTCAGTCCGCAGGCCGACGCTCTATCCACTGAGTCAAACTGGTTAGGGCCAAAATTACTCTCTTGAGAAATGTCAAGCCTAGCTGTGAAGATGATAAAGGCACAAAGTAAGCAGTATCGATTACTAACTACCTACGTGTTTTGCTTGTCCTTTTTATTTTCTAAAATGTAATAATTTTGTTGACCGTTAGTCCCTCTAATTATCTGACAATGGAATATGTTACCAGCACTATCAAATATTATTATTTCTTTATTACACAATGTATGTTCATTGTGGAAAAATTAGAAAATTAAAAGTAAAACATAAATAAATAGAAAAGCGAAATAAGCCAGTCAGAGAAAGACAAGTATCACATGATTTCACTTATATGTGGAATGTGATGAACAAATT